GCCCGCAAAGGGGAAGAATGCTCAACGAGCCCAAAAAAAAAAAAAAAAAAAGAATGCTCAACGAGCTACAGCACCCTAGCTCAGTTGGTACAAATGTGGCATTCAGGAGGTCTTGGGTTCAATTCCCGCTGAACTCATGTACCTAGAGATAAATCGGCACCGTCTTCCCCCGAACACAACGCACCCTCATTTTGGCCGTATCTGGCCGGAAATATAGCTTGTAAACATTCATTTTTAGGGTACGTTATGTTCGGGGGAAGACGGTTTGCGTACTTGGTGCTCGCCATCTAGAGATAAACCGTTGGGCCTCATGTGCTGCTAATGTTCGCAGGGGAAGGGGATTGGAGGGGATTGGAGAGGAGGCATGGCAACTGGCCAGTCGGATGAAGCTCGGTCCTGATGGTACCGGCTCCCGCATGTTGTGATGATAACATCTTCAAGTTTTTTTGAAAAAGCTATATTCTCCTCTCAATTTTCTTCTCTTTTTTTTTTCTTCTCTCTTTTTTTTTTTTTTTCCCTTTGAAAAAGGCTAAACCAATTCAATTACTGTCAAATCTGGACAGGACGGCCTTTCAGGCCTTTTTTATTGTTCATTATAGTATTACGGGGAACCCTGTAGCAGCCACATCCGTGCTCAAGCCTCCAACGAGGGAACATGCGGGAGCTGCACCCACCCACCAGCAGGTGGTGCCATACCTCCCCCGGCAAGGTCCCATTTACTCAATTAAGATATTCTGGCCTTTGATCTTTGCTATCTACGGTCAATATCTCTTAATTCGTGTAAGTGGGACCTAGCCCCCGGCCAGGGGTCAGCCGGTAGCATCAGGACCAAGCTTCTTCTATGGGCCAGTCACGGTGCCTCCCCTCAGGTGGTGGTCCCCTCCCCCTATGAACATCAGCAGTCTCTGCTCAATGCCACTCGGGGGACCAACTGCATAACTCTAGGTGGCGGGCGCCAAGCTTGCCGAGGAAGGTGCATGAGGCAGTGTGGATTGAACCCAAGACGTCCTGAATGCCACTTGCGTGCTTTACCAACTGAGATAGGCCGCTGGATAACTTATTCTCTCAATTTTACCTCACACTACCTACCTACCACTACTCCTAATTGTAGCAAGGCTGGGGCAGTGTAACCTGCAGTACATCCGCGGCAAAATTCCCGAGCCTCAGAGCCCCCTGCGCGCCAAGCTTTTTTTTGTTTTGTTTTTTTATGGAAAACATCGAGGGGGAAGCCATACTGCTACCGGTAGCAGGGATAAGAGCCCATGCTTGTAGTAGGGGTCCGGGGACAGATGGCTCCATTCAGCACGTGCTGGGAACTGGCCCCAGCGTCCCACAGCAGCACCATTTGTGTATCTTAGGTATCACACGGGGGCCATGTCCCACTTGCAGAGTTGAGTAAGTTCAACGCTGAGTTTTCTATCACGTGTGACCTGGGGTGACCAAGGAGATGAGTTCTCTCACGGTCCATGGGACGGTAGGGTCGGATTTTCAGAAAAAGGAAAACGAAAGTTGGATTGCTTTTCTTTTTTTCTTTTTTTTTTAACAGTTCAGAAATTCGAATTCATCTTACAAATTTGTGGGCAAATATCCCACGAACCGGCATTCTAGCAAAAAAAATGATGCAGGCACTCTTGCCACTGTTGTTCTTTCATCTGGCAACAAGCTGCTCTGAGGAGATCAGGAGTTCTCTCATCGTTCTTATGCCTCTCCTCTTTTTCTCCTACATTTCTCTCCTTCCTACATTTCCTTTTTTTTTTTTTTTTTTTTTTTTAAAGCTCCTACCGGTGATAGTGGTGCTGATATGAGCAGACACCACTACCACCCGGGGAGAGGCTCCATCTATTGGTGGGGAGCATCACCTGCTGGAATTTCCTATTCTCTTCTCATCCTAAATTTTTCTCCGCTCTTCTCCTCACGGACTCGCCTGGCATTAAAAGGACCAGCCTGATTGGTAAGGACAAAATGCAGAAAAAGAAATTTGGCCACATCTCTGTTTTCAACCCAACTCTTCTGGAATTGCCGAGTCATGTGCAGCCAATATCATCACTTGCATTCACAGCAACCATTTGGAGCACATGACCATCCATCCTGGCCACACCCTCAAAAAAAGGAAGACACTGCAAAACTCTTCTCTGCCGTCCCACCATTCCCCTCCGTAGTGGTAACCAACGCACAGAGAAACTGATACAAATATTCCACATCAGAGAGTAAAAGCAGACGGAATATGTATGTAGGCTTTGGACGCCATACGTCCCTCCACCGGGAATACTGCACGTCGATGCTGTCGATCAAAGCATTCAACGACAAGGAAACTCTTATGAAATGGATGCATGGCATACAATGGGGTGCCCCACTCTGCCAAAGAACCACCCATTTTTACCATACGCGCATCCATAAGGGGTTCCGCACCTCCGACAACCCACGATATATCTCCATCATCTGTGGTATTGGCCAGCATTGCTCCAAAGCTGTAACATGAGAACACGCTTGGAGAACGCATCCATAAGGGTTTGCACCACCAACAACCCACGATATATCTCCATCATCTGTGGTGTTGGCCAGCATTGCTCCAAAGCTGTAACATGAGAACACACTTGGCAATTTCCCCTGCTCCTTCGAAGTGATGTAGTAACTGCTTGTTCCACTACTCTGACTTGATATGGCACATAGAAGACAGTTCCAAGTGCCCAGACCTTTTGAAGTCAAACGGCATTAAATCATTTCCACAGCCCCATCAACTTCTGATAGGAGAGAATCTATGTGACCCTGGGGATGACTGAGTCAGGAGGAGGTTGTGACAGAGTCACTGATCTCAACAACATTAATGTCAGAAGCATGCCAATGAAGTGCGAAAGAACAGTATTTGTGGAAGCCTGAACAAGAAATACATCTAATGCCAACACGGGGCTAAAGCTTGGGTTAGCCTGCAACATAGGAGCGGCCGAAGAGGTCAACGCCTTGCCAACAAGCACACCAACAGTCGCCTCCATTCCAAGAATCGCCGCACCCATACCAACCAAGTTAATCAGAAGTCCGTTCGTCAAATTCCTGACCACATGCGATCTTGGGGGAGCCTTACTGGGGTTGCCGACACCTTCACGAAGTCGAAGAGACAGCCTTGTGTATCCCAAGGACAAGAAGACTGAAAGAAATGCGGCACATATGCCAGCTGCTGTCAAATACAGAGTAAGAACTAATGTAGCCTTCCCTGTCAGCACCAAGCAGAAGGCCAGTATGCCAGCAGAGACGAAGGTGCACACCAACTGACTCCAGAAACCAATCACACCAAGTCTCTTGAACAGCTCTGCAGCCCTTGCCACCCTTTGTGACACCTGGAGGCGCTTAGCTGCTTCCACGGGATCTTCCCCCATCTTCTGAGCGGCGACACTCGCCACAACCGCGTCGGCATCGTATGCCTGGGCTCTAACGCCCGCACCACGGCTCCTCTTCCAAATGATTCCCCTAACTCTCTCAGCCACGCTCAGCTCCTTCATCCGCCTGTCCTTCCCAGAAAAGGACACCTCACTAATTACCACCAAACCCCATACTGCCCTTTTCCCTCCCTGTGGTGCCGATGCCAACATCAACGCTCTGCTTCCGCGGCCAATTATTCGCCTACGCACGTCGTCTATGATCGAGGGCTGCCCGAACCACACAGCTGGGAACGATGTACCAACCCGTTCATGTTCGGCCCTGAAGTCAGCACCTAAGCCCCTCGTCCTCAGATGAGGCGGCGAAGAGCGCTGTGCCGCAATGATCCCTTCCCACTTCTCACATGATGCGCGATACGGCGTCGACCGACTGGTCACATGCCGCCGCGGCAATGCCGCGCGCGTCCCTGTGACAACATGGCCAGAGAGACTTCCGATGGTGCTGCAAGACCCAGTCTTCTCGATCGACGATGGCGAACAAGAGGAAGAAGTACAACAAAATGACGACAGAGGATTGAATTTCAAACGCTCSAGCTGACCGGAGCCAATAGCCTGGAGGCACGTTGCATGCGACATCGCCGCCTACTCTTACTCTCTCTCTCTCTCTCTCTCTCACACACACACACACACACACACACACACACACACACACACACACGCGAACGATCTTCCTCTTTTATCCCTTTGTGCTGACCGCAAACCACTTTCCTTCGTCTCGGATTGCTTTTCTTTGGTAGGATAATAGAACGAAAATCGATCCTCCCGAATACAACGCCCCCTACCCTAGCCCGCTTCCGTTTGAGCTAGCTACCTTTCTGGAAATGGGGTAGCTAGCTCAACGGACATTAAAGCACCAGTACAAGGGCACCTGGGCCGCCGGCCTGACACCTCAAATTCTGGAGGTGCGAAACAAAACCGTGACCGCCGATCGAATTTATCAACGGCGGGCACGGCATTTGACGTTTCGGCCTCGTTTTCTTGTGGCGACAAGTTTCGGACTGCAAGGCTGGGGCTGTGTACTGGTAGCCATCCTTACCTCCTCGTGGGAGGACACTCTGACAGACAAGGGAGGGCACTTTGACAGACGTGGGAGGACAATCTCACAGAGGTGGGAGGACACTTCGACAGACTTGGGGAGGCACTCGTTTCTTTTATTTGGGTGGTCAATGCACATAGCCAGGAAGACCGGGTCCGGCGTCCCTCACATTGTTGTTGTATTATAAAAGCTGGAAACCATTGTATTATAAAAGCCGGAACCGGGCCGGCGTCCCTCGCATGAGAACAAGGTTTGTGACAAAGAAGACCGACTGAGATCAACGACTTAACCCCCCCCCCTGCCGTGCGGGTGGTAGGGTGCATCCGCTAGTTTGCGAAAGCACCATCATGGTGGGAGTTGGTGCCTTTTGGTGACGGAGAGTGTGAGTAGAGGTGCTATCCGCCCTGAATCGCAAGGAGGTGGGGGGGGTTTGCAGGGTCTCCATCCTACTTGGGAGAGTTTCGCTCGAGGAGATTCGTCTTCTCTTTTTTATTTTCTAAAAAATATGGACAAAAGCCGATTGCCCCACCTCCATTTTACATCTGAGAAAATATGGAAAGAAGTGTTCAGCAGCATTTGATTTTCTTTTCTTGCACTAGTTTTTAATTTTTAATTTGCAATAACTGTGTGTGTCACACGGCAACTCAACGGTGTAAGTGGGACATGGCCCCGGGCACCCCTACTTTGTCTTTCTTCATACGTTTTGCCAAGACACCAGCACTGTGTTTTTGTTTTCTTTTGGCTGGAGCCACTACTGTCTATTCAACTTAGCTCCCCCAAAAACGCAGGTACGTTGTATTCAACTTAGCTCGAAAAAAATGGGTTCTCCAAAATCTCTGATTTTTTAACGAATAGAACATACAGATACGTCGTATTCGTATTTTTGCTAATTTCAACATTGCAACACAAGCAAGTTTTTTTTTTTTTTTTTTTTTAACACCAAAAGGAGTCTTTCCATTACAAGCTGGGAATCGGGCCCAGCATCCCTCACATGAATAGCTATGGCCCACAGGGACAAGCCTGGCTCACAGGCCAGGCATAACCCCAACCATAGCGAAAATCTCACCGCCGTCACAATCGTGGAATGGGCAGCTCCAACCCTGCCGTACATCCACTAGCACAACCCAAACCCAGTATCAATGCAAACCTAAGTATTATAAACCAAAAGGAACCCTAATTAAACTCTCAATTCTTGACTCACGCACTCATCCCAAGCCAATCAGCAACCCTAACTACACCCAACGAAAAACCAAACCCCAACCATACAATCTCTCCGCGTAAACGAAACCTAATCGTCACAAATAACCATAAAAAGGAAAAAAAACGAAGAAAGAAAAAAAGGACGTCACCAGTATTTGAAGGTCATCAACTAATTAACCCTAATGATTACAAAACCCGGCAATTGAGTAGAGATGAAAAGCTCACAAGCAACACCACGCCAAAAGTAGGAATCTTAGCAGCATTAATCAACGCCGATCACAAAAGGCCGTTGTCAACGACGGTGGGCGATACCGGTCACGAAGTCCATTGACACTCTCCCGAAAACCCGACGCTCTTCTATGCACACACGGTTCTCATCTCCCTATGTCGACTTCTCTCCGTATCAAAGCCAAGAGGGCAGAGCCCCTGACAGGTTCCATATACTGATATACACGGTGTCGGGGCAAATATCCTGGCAAGGGTATTTGCCGGGGATTTCAAACGTCGGACACTGTCTGACCTTTTCGTTGAAATAAAGGACTTGATGAGGATGACGTTTGCCAAAAGTTTATTCAGACTAACCTATGACTGAGAGACTGAAACTTTTTTGAATTTTAGTTCAGACGCTTGCGTCGTCCGAAAATAATGGCAGTAGTCGGCAGTTTTTGTCGAGGCCGACCTATTCTACCTAAAATCTATGTTACCAGTTGTCCGATGGCAGGACGTCCTGGCTGGACATCCTGGGCGGACAGTCAGGGGGGTCCCGGACGTCCGGGCCCAGACAACTCAATTTTTAGCAATAAAAAGCATTAAACAAATGGAAACAAATTGGGGGTGTTTTTAATTTTATTTTTTATTTTAAATTTTGTACCGAATTTCGATATCATCCCAAGGCAAACGTTGTTCAGTTTAGTTTTCTGCATAACATAGTTTTTTTTCAGAATTTTTTGAGGACGGTTTTTTTTTTTTTTTTTTGCGTTCGGGCTTGGACAGATTGCCCGGGGAGGATGTCCAAGCGGACAACCCCGGACGGTCGGGGGGTCCTGGACGTCCGATCAGGTAACCCAGCCTAAAATAATGTTGCGCGGCTTATTCAGGGCCTAAGTGGGCTAAAAGAGGGATGGGCTGGGTATGGGGCCACAACGCGGGAGGAATAAGGTAGCCTTTTTTTTTCCGTCGGGTTGTGGGGGTTGACCCCGAAGCCGTGGATGGGAAGCCATCCACGGGAAAGCGTCGGACAGGTAAAAAAAGTAACGGCCACATACGTGACCGTGGTCGTGGGATAGGTACAGGGGGAAGAAAATTCTAGGGGGTGATGGGACTGCGCCTATTCGTTTTGAGCAGGCAGCAGTAAGTGGCTAAGTTCACCCATTTCCAGGAGTACCTGGCCTGGGAAAATGGCCAGGTACTTCTGGGGGTTTATGACCTTGCTTCCCCTAGGGGAAAACCAAGGCATCGAGCTCCCTGCCGTTGATCTAGATCGAGGGTCAAGAGCACTGACGAATTTTGTCTGGCTGTGGGCAAAGCAACTGCCCATATGCCTTCGGCTGGCTATAAAAGTCAACACTCCACCCAACAACCTCACACTTGTGGCAGTGCTGTTGGGGCATTCACTTGTGTGCATGCTAGTTGACTGCTTCATGCTGGTGTAGTGAGGGAGTGTTGGCGAAGTGTTGGAGGTCTGCAGGAGCACTTGAGGGAGAGACAGGCGGCGACCATAGCTGGAGGCTGGGAGCTTTTGCCCCACCTATGTGCGTGAGCTGTGTGTATGGGAAGGAGTCGCGGCCGTGAGGCTGCAACAACGACACTTCGGTGGGGAGGTGCTGCCAATGTTTTTGGCACGGCGGTAGCGACACTTCGGTGGTGAGGTGCTACCAGACTGACGGTCGTGGCCGCGTCAAGGTGTCCCTAAAGGGAGGTGTTGTTCGTTTGGGGGCACGACAGCGGCGATATTTTTTTTGTGAGGTTACGCTGCCTTGGCACGGCAGCGGTATTTCGGTAGGAAACTGCTGCCACTTTCTTTTGGCACGACGACGTGGTACCGGTTTCGACGGCGCGGCGAGCGGCAGTTCCACTTTTTATTTTTGATGTGCGCGGTAAAGGTGGACTATTCTCTTGTGATCCGGCGGTAGTATGGACAATGGTGCTCATTTGGGATTGTGCGGCAGTGGTGTGTGAGCATGCGGCGGTGCTATTGGATGACCATGGTACCAGTTTTAGCGACAACGGCGAGTGGTAATTCCGCTATTAATTTTTTGTGGTGTGCAATGGTTGTGGCGAATTTCAGCATGATATAGAGGTTGGGTTAGCACTGGTATGTGGTCTGGATTGTGCAGAGCTGGTGCACGATTGGATTTGTGCGGCAGTGGTGTGTGGGCCGACGACATGAAAAAAGTGCAGAGTGGGTGCACACGACACTGAACGCTGAGGCTATCGACACCTGTGTTTTTTAGTCAGGGCCACCTTTAATTTTTTTACGGCGTGCGGAGCAAGCGGGATTTGAGTTTGGGACCATCCAGTGCTGCGAGCGATGATGTGGCCGCCCAATATCACTTGGGACCATTTTGGGACTAGGTGAGACTGGTTTTGAGAACGGGACCGACATGTTGGTGTGACTATTGCAAGCAGACGTGGTGATTGGAGGCGGCATGGACTTGCAATTGGTTGAGAGTATCCTTGGTGGGTGAGACACAGTTGGAACTGTGTTGGGACAACCTGGGACATTAAGACCAGACTAAGCAGGGATTAGTTTGGGACATTGGGACCATGTGAAAACTCATTTGTAGGAACACCCTCCTGGAGGGCTATCTCGCTTGAGTTTTTGTGATCCAACCTCTGCTTATTTGGACACTTGAGAAGGACGCGGACTGTGGCTCAGGAAAAATGTCACAACTGGTGAAGTTGTGGGCCATGCATTTTTGTACGATGGCAACATTTGTTTTTTTATATTGACATATTTCTCGGGTTTCTTGAGTGAGACGATTCAAACTTCACTCAAGGTCAGTTGAATGATTCAGACTTCCCTTCACACCTGTGTGAACCCACACTTTACTTGACCCTATTCATTGAATGTTCGTTGAAAAGGTAGAGAAAAGTTGTGCGAGTCATGCATGTGAATGGAAAGGTCTGACTTGAGTATGAGATTGCACTGGTTTTCGCTTGAACTTGTTGTCTTTGAGTGTTGTGCAGGTAGGTAGAAGGATTCTTGCAAAGGAGATTGATTACGCCCATTCTAGAAAAGAGAAAAGTATTATCTTCCTTCTACTTTTCACCTGCCTGCATGCGAAAAATGATTCGTTGTCTTGAGAAACGTTTTTTTTTTTTTTTTTTTTTTTTTTTTTTTTTTTTTTAATTTAATTTTTTTTATTTCTTTTTAGCACTCTCCCTCTATTGTTGGGGAGCTGCACCTGTTGGAAACCGGGTCCCCTTATATACGAAAGTTAACGAAATGTTGACTGAAAACTGGACCTCTTCACCCAATCAAGGGGCCAGATGATCATGAAGCTCAAACCCTATTGGTGAACAAACAT